TGCGTCACATTACAACTGAGGCACCTCAAATGAACGATTAATAGGTCACGCACCTCACCTGACGATTGACACCTGAGACACCTCAGCTGTAATCTGACGCAAATGTTAGTCTGAAGCACAACATATACATAACTAGATACTTTTTTTACTTCCATATATAAAATAGATTCTGCATAAATCTTAAAAAGTCGAAATATCTCAAAAATTCAAAATCAATTTTGGGAATATGTATAGTTTAAGCTAATTCTCTAAATAGTATAACTGCAGCACAAGCATAAGGATAGTTTGTTTTTATTAACTGGTAATCTATACTGGTGATTAATAATAATTAACACGTATCATTGTTTAAATAATAAATATTTTTTTAATAACAATAAATATTTTTTTAAGCACAAGTACGCAAACAAAAAATTATTTCATTATGCTTCAAAAAAAAATTATGGTCTTTGTTTGGTACAAAATTATAATCTTCAAATATCCTGTTTTTATCAAATTACTTTATTAGCATATAGGAAAGTTCAAAATAATAGATCATTTAAATTTTATTCTTATTTAAAAATTGAAAAACAGTTATGTTATATTCATTATTTGAGTATTGTTGAAACTGACTATTATCAAAAATCAAAAATACAAGGTAATATTAATAATTATAAAATTTAGTATTATAATATAATTAATTTTAATTTTTTATTTTTATGGAATCAAAAGTTATTTATTTATTAAACAAGTTAGCATGCTTACAAAGTTTTATATATACAATGTGGAAATATTGAGTTTGATCCTATCCATTTTTAGTAAATAATAGTAGAATTTGATTCACGTTTATAAGAATTTTTTGATAAATTGAAAAAGACATTAATTCCTAATAAGAGATCTTTATATAATAAAATTGAAATAAAAAAAAACAATTGTAAACCTATATTATATAATGGCTAGAATATAAAACAAATTTGTCAATAATTTTAAATTAGAAATTGAATTATATCTATTAGTATTAGGAGCATCATATATTGTAATTGATACATTAAATAGTATTGGATTATCTGCATGCTATATAACAATTAATAATTTTAAACAAAAACTTGCAAATAAACATCCCTTAAAAATAAGAGAATTTTTTTCAAAACAGATAAATAAATTATTATTATTTTTTTTAAAAAAAATAATTTTATATTAATCTAATATTGTATATAATTAGAACAATTATTTGTATATCTATAATTTGAATAATTACTATGATATTCATGAAAAAAGGAGACCTAATATAATAACTTTATCAACTGTAAAATATATAACTACTTGCATTTGTAAACAAGTCACAGCATGTGCACCAGTACCAATTATTTTCAATGGTTCTTCAATTTATAATCTAGTAAATATTGATACCAATGATATTTGTTTTCATTTAATAAATCAATATCATGAAACCTTTGATACTTTTTATATCAACTGTAAAAAACAATGGCTTGTTAATGGAAGGCCAGATATTAATAACTTTGATAAAATAGAATTATTTACAGTTCATTTTTATAATGACGCAATTGCAGAAAGGAAAGGAGAATGTTCAATAAAATGAGTTTGATTAATTGGGTTTCAAGAAAAAAATTTACATTCTATGAATAATTATGTAAGTACATTACAATTAATCCTGGATATTGACAATGATACTGGTATTTTATATATTAGAGTTATACCATTAGTTGCTAACTGACCAAAACAGTTATTTATACATAAAGCAATAACAAATTTATATAAAGATAATTCACAATATTCAATACCTTCCAGAATTAATTTATTTATTCCAATTTTGAATCCTCTTCATGTTTCTCTCAATAGTAGAGAACATGTTTTAATTATATATTATACTTTTTTTTCAAAAATTATTCCATTTTGTATTTGGAAAAAAAAGATATTAGCAAAAAAACCAAAGCCTTGATATATAAATTTGCTTCTTGATTGGCTTATAATGGATGGTATAAAATAAGAGAAACAATTTTAACAAAATTTGAAAATATTTGTAAAGACATTGAATATCGAATGGTTTTAGATTTATTAGATAATATTATTCCAGCAACTTTGGATATTTATGTTATTTTATTTAGATCTGGTTCATTTAATGAATATGTAAAAATTATTTTTTGAATTTGGACTTTTGCCCTTTACTGAAAAAGACATAATTATAATAAAGCACCTTTAGCATTTCTTTCATTTATAGAAGTTGTAAAATTATTTTTAGTAAATTTCAATGATTATTATGTTGAAAGTTATCACAGTAAGATATGAGCACATACAAATACAAATAATAATGTAGATAACATTATAAAACAAGCCTTTGTAATAGGTATCATTATAAAATTATTTATAATTATCAAAAACCAATGTGAAATTAAAAACATTTTTGAAAGAACAAAAACATATCCTTATAAACTATCATCTTTAAACCTTATGGAAGAAACTATACCTGCCACCCAAATTCAAAATCCAAATGCCGAAATCCCAAATGCCAAAATCCCAAATCCCAAATCCCAAATTATGATTAGTATTTTTTGCCGAAATCCCAAATCCCAAATACTAGTAATTTGGGATTTGGGCAACACGTATAGAAGAAACACCTCTATTTTTGTTAGAATATTTTTAAGAAATCTTTAAAAATTCTGGAAAAAGTAAATTACACAAAACAAAAAAAAAAATAGAATGTAAATTAATTACATTAGGTGTTACTGTTGATTCTTGGTGTCTCCCTACTGGATTTAGTACTAGCATATCCCCATTACCAGATACTTGTGATCACTGTCACAAAAAACTTGATAATGGCGAAGTATTAACTTGTAAACATGGATATCACTATGAATGTTATGAATATGGTTGTCATTATTGTGAAGAATATTATAAAAGGGGAATTTACAGTAATGTGAAATTATTTTTAGAAAGATTGAAAAAGGACCAAATATTCTTACTTCTGAAGAAAGAGAAGAAAGAGAGAATATTTTAGTAGAAGAAAATGAAATAATAAAAGAAATTGAAATAAATGAAAGTCAAGAAGTACATGAAAAATTTTTAAGATCACTTAACTATATTAATGCATGGTAATATAAGCACTTGACCTTAACAAAGGTAAATTTGTTGTAGTGAGGGTATTTTTGCTATATCTATACCGAGTATTACAATATTAATAATAATAAATAATAAATAGCAATAATAATAATAAATAATAATAATAATAATAATAATAAATAATAATAGAGAGTTAAAAAATGTATGTTTCGTTTTATTCTATACTTTAAAACATTAAAAATATTAAAAATTAAACTTTACTTACAACGGGAATAGTTTTTTATATAGCCTATATAGTCTATTGTTATAAAAAGTGATTCTAAGCAAACTTTTTGGTAAATTGAATCAAATCGGATCAGGGCCAAATCGGATCAGGCTAGCGAACAAGCTTCAAAGAATATATTTGCAAAGTTTCATTTAGCCATTTTGTGACTTATCATATGAGCAATCATTATTTAATTGATCTTAATTGTAAAACGCGTATAAATAATTGTGTAATGTGTAGATCAAAATCTAGACTTTCCCTACACCACCATGTCTGATTCGAATGCTTATCTAAAGAGTATTTCTTCCGACTCTCCGTTAAACAAACCTACGTCAATTCCACATTCTTCAGTACCTAAACTCCCAGATTATCTTGCCAATACAAAATTTGCGGAAATGTATTATAAAGCGCATGAGATACTCAGAAGCGTGACTTTGCCAACTGAATGGAACGTTGACGATAAATGTACTCATTTGAACGTAGATTCGGACAGACTTAAAGTAAACTATATAGGTGAGATATTATTACTTAGATTTCATAATTTCATAATTTTTCCTTTAATAAAAATAATAAAAAATAATAAAAATAAAAAATGTTGTGATTTGAAAATATTTAATAAAATTTTTTTAAATACGTATATAAAATTCCGGAGTTAGCTTTATATAAATAACTCCATTATCTTTCGAACGCAAAAAGGTCCGGGCGTGAATGATTTTGATGCAGCAGCTATTCGTGCTAATCATTCAATGCCCCCACGATGTGGATTATTCTATTTCGAAATTAACATTATAAATAAAGGAGAGGACGGGTACTAAGTTGAATTCTTGTTATTTTTTCGCGTTTTTTAATAAAATTAATAAAATTGATTAAAAAATCTACGAACTTCAAACTAAAAAAATGCTATGTTTATATTTCTTTAGATTTATTAGTATTGGATTTTGCAAAGAGCGAAGTCGTTTAAATAGATTACCTGGCAAGTATGGTTTATAATATAGATATTTCCAGTTTAAATAATAAATAACTAGATTTATTTATAATTATACATTTAGGTTGGGAAAATAACTCCTGGGGTTATCATGGAGATGATGGGCTTACATTCTTTTCAGGATTTAGTAAACCATATGGACCAAAATTTACAACAGGAGATACCATAGGGTGTTGTTTAAATTTAAGAGACGGTACAGCATTTTATACGAAGAACGGACAACATCTGGGTAATTAGTTATTTGGATAACATTTAACATAGCTTCATACATTTCATTTTGACATTTTTATTTATTAAAGGTATAGCGTTCCGAGATTTGAAAGGAGTTTTTTATCCTTCCATTGGATTAAGAACTCGGGGTGAATCTATTGAAGCTAATTTCGGGCATAAGAAATTTAAATTTGCGATCGAACATTATATGTAATAAAAATAATTTTTTTAATTTATTATGAAAATTTCAAAGGTGAAAATTAAAATTTATTATACAGGAAGAAAAGACGCCGCATCAGAAGTAAATCTCACTGACAATAAATTTATTTAATATGTCGATCCAGGATAAGTAATTTTTCTTTATCCCAAATTTAATTCAATTTGGTTACATTTGTTGAATGTACTTTGGCAAGTAAAGGTAAGGTAATTTCCTAATTCTTATTTAAATAATGTTATGTTTCGGAGTTTTAATTTATCTATATATAAATATATATATAAGTGTAAAATTGATATAAACTATTGAATTCAGTAAACATTTACGTGTCAAAAATATTATTATTATTACTATTGTTATTTCCTTTTTTTTTTTACATTGGTTTGCTTGGTAATTGTGTCAACAAAATCTTGAATCTTTTTTTTAATATTACTCGATGACGAGTCTTATCGTCTGATTTGGTAACCTCCCCTTCAGGACTGATTTCTTAGGTAGAAAGTTTGATTTTAAAAATTATCCCCTTATTTTAAATACATTTTAAATACGTTTTTATACCTTGAGCGTTGTAAACACGATTACCAGCTTCGTCAGTATTGTACATTTTTCTTTTAAAAAAAAAAAATTGATTCCACGTGATGATGACTCGATGCATATGATCGATTAATGATACAATAAATGAGAACCTACAAAGAATGGCAATAATTCATAATATCAGAACTTATCTAATTAATCTTGACATTTACTAGATTTCGTATACTTTCACAAGATTGTTTCGTTCTAGTGTCTGTTAATGACAAATACTTCTTCCAATTCTGGCTCCTCTCGGAGAGCTAATGCCCTAAATAGTGCAACTGCAGCACATTTAGCAATATTGTCTACTTCACCTTATTCACCACCAACTAACATGTCTGGTTCACATTATTCAGCAATGTTGTCCGCTCAATCTAGCCAACCTCGTACAACTCTTTCGTGGTCGAATGCTTACCCAAACAGCACCTCGACATCATACGCTTCCGGTTCTTCGACACGTACAACATATTACAACCATCCTCTTACTTCGTCATCGTCTCCGTTGAACAGACCTGCGTCAATTCCACAAACAAAATCGAATCCTCCAGTGACTAAACTCCCAGATTATCTTTCCAATACAAATTATGCAGAATTGTATTACAAGGCGCATGAGAAGGATGGGAACGATGTTGATAAAGATCTACTCGAAAACGTTGCTTTGCCAACGGAATGGAACGTTGATGATAAATGTTCTCATTTGAGCGTAGATTCCGACAGACTTAAAGTAAATTATATAGGTGAGATATTATACTTAGAATTTCATAATTTCATAATTTTTTTTTTTTTTAATAAATATAATAAAAAATACCTTGGGAATTTTACAAAACGTAGAAAATGTTGTGATTTGAGTGCTGATTTTTTTTTGTTGAATCTTATATTATGTATCGACAAAAAATATTTAATAAATTTTTTTAAACACATAAATTTTGGAATTAGCTTTATTTTATTATAAATGACTTTATTCAAATAAATTATCCAAAATTATATGAAAAAAATTATCCTTCCATATTGAACTTATGAAATTATCTTTTGAACGCAAAAAAGGTTCGGGCAAGAATGATGCGGATGCAGCAGCTATTCGTGCTAATCATTCAATGCCCCCACAATGTGGATTATTCTATTTCGAAATTGACATTATAAGTAAAGGAAAAGATGGGTACTAAATTGGATTCTTGTTATTTTTTTTTCGCGTTTTTTTAATAAAATTGATTAAAATCCATGAAAATTCAAACTAAAAAAAAATACCTATATGTATATTTTCTTTAGATATATTGGTATTGGATTTTGCGCAAAGCAAGTTCATTTAAATAGATTACCTGGTAAATATAATTTTATAATATTAAATATTTCTAGTTGAAATAATAAATAACTAGATTATTTATAATTATACATCTAGGCTGGGAAAATGACTCCTGGGGTTATCACGGAGATGATGGACATTCATTCTGTTGTTCAGGATCCGGTAAACCATATGGACCAGGATTCACGACAGGAGATACCATAGGATGTTGTTTAAATTTTAGAGATGGTACAGCATTTTATACTAAGAACGGAAAACATTTGGGTAAATGGTTATTTGAATAACATTCAACCAGTTTGTTCCTTTTAATATAACTTCACATGCTTCATTTTGATATATTTATTTATTAAAGGTATAGCGTTCCGAGATTTGAAAGGAATTCTTTATCCTTCCATTGGATTAAGAACTCAGGGTGAATCTATTGAAGCTAATTTTGGACATAGGAAATTTAAATTTGCGATTGAACATTATATGAAAGTAAGAAATGTAAATTTTTTAATGAAGATTTCATAGATGAAAAATTAAAGAAATTTATTTATTCAGGAAGAAAAGACGCGTTTGTGGAACGAAATCAATTCTATACCTATGGATTTAATATCATCTCCTTTAACTACTGCACCAATTTCGCAAGCTGCGTCGGAAGCAAATCTCACTTCAGCTGTTCATCATCTTATCTTATCTTATTTGGTTCATCATGGATATAGTGATACTGCTAAGACTTTTTCAAGGAATACTGTACAATTACCTCAAATTGATAACAGTGAAATGGAAGGGGTCGAAAGTGAAAATCCATTACTGGATAAAGATAAAGATATGATAAATCGACAAAGTGTGCACAATATTAATCTAGAGTTTAATTGGTTTAAAATTTCAATAATTTATTCACCAATTTATTATCAAATTATTTTTTTAGGAATTCGTGACGCGGTACTTGCCGGAGATATCGATCATGCTATCAAATTGACAAATACTTTTTATCCTTCTGTATTGACTTCTAACCGTGACATTCATTTCCAACTTCGGTGTCGTAAATTTATAGAAATGTTGGGGGCTTGTGCTGGAACTGAAATAACATTAACAGATCATGACGATGATGTAATAAGGAATGATAAGATTAAAGCTATGATAGATGACGATATCGGTGACGACGACAACGATGACGATGATGACGAAGTTGCTAACGAGAGTAATGAAGAATCAGGGGATGAGAATGATGATGAAGAGGAAGAAGAAGAATTCGAGGATGCCATGGATGTAGATGAATTTGCAGCCTCAACGAGTGATGATTCTATTGATGATCTATTTGGTGTATCATCTGTTAAAAAGAAAACATCTAAGCGACAAAAAAATGTTTGGTCTGGATTACATGGATTAGATGGAATTATGGCAGAAGCTTTGAAATTTGGTTATAAATTGCAAGATGATTATCGTGACGATTACCGTGATGAAATAAAGAACACATTAAAGGTTATTTAGTTATTTTTTTCTTCTTAATATTAGACATAAAATGTAATATTTTAGGCAAAGATAATAACTTTTTTTTTTGAACAATTTAAATTATTCAGGACGCGTTTTCATTATTGGCATACACTGACCCACGTAGGAGTTGTGTATCACATTTATTAGATCCATCTGGACGTGAACCTGTTGCAAACTCTTTAAATAGCGCTATTTTGGGTGTGTAGATCAATAATAATTTTTGATTATAGTTTGATTATTTGATTGTTAAATTTGATTACTTATTATATCTTGGTATAGTTTCACAAGGTAAACCTGCGATACCACCACTAGAGAAAGCTTATCGCCAGGCTTCAGTGGTTCTCCGTGAACTATCTAGAAATAGTGTTGGTTCCAGTGCCTTTGTTAATGTGCGACAAGATTGCTTAGTTTAACTAGGGAAACTTAGTTTGCAGAAAAAACATAAATTCCTAGATTGTTATTGACTTCTTGGTTTCCTTTTGTTTTTTTTTTAAATGGACACTTAATTTTATATTTCTAGTGTACAAAATTTTTAAATATCCTTTTCTTGAATTATTATTCATTTGGAATTCATTACCAAAGAGCAACAATTATTTAGGTCTTACTGGATGTTATTTTCATTTTACAAAATAATTGACATTATATTACCATAGGATTTTCTTTATTTCTTCACGCTCGACATATTTTTGTTGTTATATGGATTTGAAAGATAATTATAAAAAATATACATCTTGCTGTAAATATGTTCAATTACGTAGATTTCCTCCCCCCTTTTTTTGTGATATTCGAATTATTTAGTATTGGATAATTTCATATTCTTTAATAAATTAAAATTTCTTGGTCTGTAGATTATATAACAATTTCATAATTCTTTAATTTAATATAATGATAAATTATTAAATAATTCTAGAAATATTATACAATGCAAAATGCAAAAGAAAAAAAAAATGAATAATTAATAAATTTAACTAACCTCGTTTTAAAAAAGACAATCATTTTATTATGAATCACCCAGTAATTTCTCAATGGCGTCCCTTACGTAAGGTGTAGATATACTCTTTGGTTGGGTTCTATAAATAGTCATTACGCAAGCCATGGCGAACGAAAAATAAATAACCTCGCCGTTTCTTTTTTTTTTTAATAAAAAAAAAATAAAATGAAAAATTGCCACCAAAAACATAACATTTACATTTAAATTTTCAAGAAATTAAATTTACTTAATGCTCTTGACTTTTCCCTTTTTAACCAATAATTTCCAGTATGTTTCAAGTAATAATCGAAAACTATACATTCCGATCTCCATACGTCGAACTGGGTGTAGTAACAAAATCCATAATCCAGCAATAAATCCATTTAAGTAGATTCTAATATTATTTGAGAAAATGTTTGATAAAAAAAAATTATATAAATATATTAAAAGGAAATTATCCTTAAAAATTTAATAAATACCTTGATATAGGCATAAATTTATTTGGAAATAAATTTTGAAATCCACAAATTAATGCCCAAGCTGTAGCAATTGACATAGTAATGAATGTGGCACCTTTAAATATCTCCGGTATTACATAATTCGCTTCCTTCGGTCTAATATAAAATAAAAATAAAATGAATTAAAGAAAAGATTTAAAAAAAGGTTTAAGTATAAAGAAAATTGTTATAGTAATTTTCACCTTGAAAGAACAGATTTCCATTTAGCAGCTAAAGAAATGGCATGACCAATTACCATAAATTTAAGTGCTGCAATTCCTTCTTTAGCTATAAATTTGACATATGTTACAAAGCAACTGGGATCCTCTGGGTGTAACATGGCGCACATCATTCTATTATGAGCTGGATGTGCAATTTCAAGAATTGGTTGTATTGGTTTTAATACTTTGGGAAGTGCAGGATCTCTACCATGAAGTTTTGGTGAATAAAATTCAGGATAATTAAGTGATGCCAATACAGCAATTCGATCAACTATTTCTCGTCCTTTTGGCCAAGGTATGGTATCTGGAAAATAACTTGGGCGCCGTTGTACGTAAATAGAACTTCGACTTGTGATAAACTGACCATAACTACTCTATCGAAATTATATCAAAAGATTTTTAATTTTTTGATTAAAAAAAAAGAAAGAAAGAAAGAAACATTAAATATAATAAATAAATAAATAAATAAATATATATGTATATATGAAACTTACTGGGAAAATATCGGGATGAATTAAATAACAATAAATCGTTTGGGAAGAACTAATTGGAAATAATAACCAAGCACCCCACCACCAAGGCATTCTAGGGATAATTCGATTATCTCTTAAAGCACTATAGATAAATTGCAAACTTTTGCATAACGCATAAGTGGAAATAGTTATACGTCTCGATTCAATATTATCAATGAGTAAAGTTGGTCCTGCAAACAGACCAGCCAAAAATGGAGGTACCAAGGGTGAACCAATTATATTCATTCTGGAGCGGGGACCAAGTAAAGGATCAAATGCACGTGTAAAGAATCGTAATAAGGTTTGGTATACTATAGCAAAAGATGAAATTGAAAGTGCAAAACGAAATGACGATGTTTTAAACAGGCTATCTATAATCTTTAGGAAACTAATAATTAATAATTAATTAATGATCCAAGAATTCAACAAAAATAAAATTGTTAGGGAAATATAATGAGATAACATCAATTCTAATGTTTTTTTTTTAAAGAAAATTATTACGAACCTTTTTTTATTCTTGGATAATGTTGGAAGTTGCGTTATAACTTCAACGAGGTTTATTATAGCGTATACCTTAACAAAATTGGTAATTCCCGTTCGAGAAGTTTTGGGTAAACATTCATCATGACGGCAACTTATAGCACCAAAAGCTGTCTCATGTTTATGAGTTTGAGAACTAAAAATAAATAAATTAAAAACTCTATTTATAAAGTGCAAAATACATATAATATTTTTATATTTATATTTATAAAAACTAACTTGCAAGTAGATTTAAATTCTTCATTACTTGGCAGTTCAAGACCAAATTTATTTATAAATGGTGTCAATATTTTTTTGACATTGGAATAGTCTTTTTGAGATAATATAAATGATAAAAAAAATAAAAATTTTCTTCCTCGTTTTGAAGAATTGTTTTCAACTAATTCTGTCATATTAAGAATAAAAAAAAGGTGTCAAAGTGACCCAAGCCAAATCCATTAATAATATTATTTATTTATTTGACTGATCTACATTGATTATCTCAAAACAAACTTTTAAGCTTTGTTCATTCCAATGTCAGCTTTATTCGTGAAAAATCGGTTTAAAGTAGCCGATAGTATTCAGCTCCAAGATGCGTGGTTACAACAATGTTTAGATAAACTTCAAAGTAAATTAGAATATCAAAACGCGAATAATCAAAAATTATATCAAGCAGTTTACAACGAATTCTTAGATTCAGATTTAAAATATTCAATGAAACCACACCTTCCACCCTTCATTGATAATACTCACAAAATAATTATTGGCGAACATTATCCTGTAACTCTTCAAGTAGTAGAGATTTTTGAAGTGGGAATACCAAACCAAACACTTTTTGATATAATCAATAGTCACTTATCAGGTTCCATTAAGCAGGGTCATAAATATAACGATATACGTGATAAAAAAATTGAAGCGATTCAATTTCCAAGAGAAATGCTCAGATTATACTTAACCGATGGGACTCAGATTATTGATGCTATGGAACTTAAACCCGTATTACAATTAAATTTGCTTACACCCATTGGGACAAAGGTTTGTTTCGATATTTTATTTCCACAATTTTATAATATGTATTAATTTTATCTTTTTTTTTTTTTTTTTTTAAAAAAAAAAATAATCTATAGATATCAGTAAAAAATACTTTAATTTTACGTGGAGTTTTATGTCTGGAATCTCAAAAGGTAACGATTCTTGGGGGATTTAAAGGTGAATCCAGATCTATATATAATATCCGAAATCAATTAGAATATCGTTTAGGGTAGGAATAATTAAATATTTGCTTGATCAAAGGAAATCTTGCATCTTCCTTATTTCCCCCTTATTTCCTCAAATCCATCTACTGCATAGTTTACCGGTTACAAAATATTCACTTGAAGATAAACAAACTCCAGAAGATTCATCGATATCGGAAGAAAATCAAAGAATAAGCCTTAATGACAATTCAGATATTTCCACCAGTGGATTTACGCGCTTGACTATTACAGACAACATTGATAACATTGAAGAATTTGATTCAATAAATGATGAAGTGTTTACAAGAAATTGTGAGATGGTATTACCTATGAGCACAAACAATATGGAAAATGAAGAAAAAGCTAATGAGGTGAAACAAAATATCACTCTTGAAGTTGAACAAACCGCTCAGCAAGTAGGGAAAATCGTCCAAGACGGTCTGAAACAAACTGGCGAAGTGATCCAAGAAAATTCTGATTATGTCAGTAATGGACATAAATTAAATGAACTTGATTCGAATACGGAAATCATAGAAATAATAGAAGATACAGATGATTTATATGCGATGGACATAGAATATGATTCAAGTTTCATGAACTTTCAGGATGAATCTGAGAGAGAAGATAAAAATTTATTAGTAGGGATGGAAAATAAATCGTTTAAAGTACACTCATCAAACATTAAAAATAATGATTTGGATGATGATATGGAGAAGGGATCAAAGCACACACTTGAAGAAGAGGAATTTCCACCGATTAATGAACCTATTGGGAAAAAAAGACGACCTAATTCTTTTATGGATAAATTAAGTCCGGCTGGAATAGAACAGTTACAAATTTCACCACCAAGAAAGTCATTTCAGTCATCTTCTCCTACTAGCTCACCACCAATCATAATATCCTCATTTGATTATCCTCGATCACTTTGTGGAAGTATTTCTCCAATTTCATTAACCACTTTTGATGATAAATCTGATTTAATTAACAAAATCGACGTAATATCTCCTACAAAAACAACGAATTATTCAAATGACTGTATAGTTATATCAGATGATGAGGAGGAGAAAGATAAGAATGTTAATGAAATAATATATGATGAAGATAAAAGGTTGATTAATAATGATGAAACTAATAAAGATGATAAAAAGCCGAATAAAATTGATTATAATAATTATAATAATTATAATGATTATAATAATTTCTTTGAAGATGATGAACTTCCTTCTGAGGAAGAATTGGTTCGTTCTTCAATTTTCAAAAAAAGATAGAAAATTGAGAATATAAATATTTTTTTTACTAAAATTTGAAAGGTTATTTTTCACTTTCAATAAACGTCATGTAAATATTTTATTCATTTTATAATTTGGAATGTCATTACCAATAATAATAAATATAGAGAAATATCGAAAACATAACATAAAAATTTTTATTTCAGTTGTTTCATATGAAATTTTTGGACGACATCATCAATGTAAACTAACTTTAATAAAAAAAAAATTAAATTATTTTATAATTAATAAACATTAAAAAAAGATCGCAAAAAACTCATAATTTTGATAAATATCATGTGATATGTTATGCTAACGCTGGCAAAAATTAGCAAAATTATGTTTTGTCCTATACACTTTGACTACAAAGAACAAAAGGTTTTATTTGAGACTCTCTCATTGGAAATGCATTTGAATTTAATGAATCAAATGAAATTCATTTAAAAGAAATTAAAGAAATTGAAATATACCAAGAGACTTTATAACTATAGTTTTAATATTTGGACCTAACAAAAGTTGATAGAGAAAATCACCGCCAGTGATTGGCAAAATTAAATTTACTTGGGCAAAGTTAGGGTTAGGGAATTATGTAATTTTGCCTATCACCGCCAGTGAGCTTTAACAATATCCCCGAAAAAAAAAAATGTCAAAACGAAATATTCAACTGAAGAAATTGTAGAAATTATCAAAATTTATTTTCCCAGACCAGGGTTTTCCTATATTAGTACACGTGCTAAGTTGATGATTCCGTTGCAAAAATCACGGCATTACGGCATATACTTTCAAAAGCCGAAAATGTCGAAAATATTTTCGGCAATTATATTTTCGACAAATACAAAAACAATTAAGTCAACTATAATTCCGTAAATAAAAGAGAAGAAAAAATCCGAAATTGCTAAGAAAATTGTTCTTGATACAATTAATGAAGTCATAAATGAAAGAGAAGAAGCATCTGAAATTGCTACTCTTGATACAATTAATGAAGTCATCACATGTCGAAAAATATTAAAAGAATGTCAAAAGATAATTACAGATTTCTATAAAAAGATAATTTAGGAACAAATGAGAAAAACATATGAAATTGCTAAGAAAATTGCTCTTGATAATCTCATGCCGGAAAATATCAAAGCGGATTTCTATCAAAGATAATTACAGATTTCTATAAAAAGGTATTCAAGATTTCTATAAAAAGATAATTTAGAAATGCATCTCGGAATTGGAAATTGAAAAACCAAGAAATTTTATATTTGGAATTCCATACCGAGTTAAAAATAAAGAATCTATCATGGCATTCCAAATATATCGATGCTGGCTGTTCATCGACGTTGTCAATCAATACTGTCAATCGAATGCTGCTGTCTATCAATGTTGCTTAATGAGTAATAAATATATCGAAGATAAACTTATTGATAAAATTAGTTATGAATAATTAATAGAATATTTTGACATCATGTCATTTTTCTTTGATTTATGTTAAAATAAAATGCAGCGAATAGTTTTTTAAGAAATTATGGTAGCCAAGAAAAATGCGCCAAGCAATCCTTAACCGCTTTAGGATGACGAGTGCATGATATTTGAAAAACGGGGGATCTTCATATAATACCTCTTATATTAAAAATAATTCTGATAATAATCCTTATTTAGGAATTCCCTTTTTTTTTTTTAATTTCTTGGAGAGAATAGTCAAAGGAAATTCGCCAATTTTTTTTTTTTACGATTGTTTCATCAATTTGTTGTTATCGCATTTTGTCATAATTGTAATAAAGTTTACTCACAACATATATCGCTTAAATTGTTAAATTCGAATGCATTTAAAAGTTAAATGTGATCATCATAATAAAAATAGAAAAATAGATAGTTCGCGTATTGTATCGTGTATGCATATCTCTTGTCATTTCATAAACCAAATCCTTTGTTTCATGTATATAAATTTTCTCCTTAGAGATCATTGAATGAGTCTTGCTTCTACATTAAGCTCTATAACATCTCTATATAAGCCATTATATAAGGAAAGTTAGTCGCGAATGTAAAAAGCATTGTGATCTCGCTCTTTCATTTTTTTCATTCTTGTCTTCCGGATTTATTCATTACACAATTCTCTATATTTCTAAAGCAAGACATTCTCAAAGAAATGCATTGCCTATCATTATTTGACTCAGAGTTTTTAAAAGAAAATTGATATTACATTTGTTTTTTTTAATCCAAATTTATTACTCAGTACCCATGGTTCTTTTAACCGCGCCATCATATTAAAATCAGTAAAAGGAAATACCTATTTCTTTTTGTTTTAATCCTGCATGTATTATAAAATATTATTAAGATTTAATGATTTCATTTCTTTAAAGATAAATCTAGAAATGATTTCTTTTCATTAGTAATTGTATATGTAGGATAAGGAAAATAATATTAAACTTTATGTCGCCAATTGATGAAAAATAAGGTGAAATGACATATTTAGGTGAATTCAATTCAACTATCTTATACAAAGCTTTAATTATTGAGTAAAGAATACATCCGTGCTCTCCGAAAATATACATCAATTTGGAATTAAAGCGTGTTTCCATGTTGTTATATTATTACAATTATTACAATTATTACTTTATTTATCGCGTTCTTATTCTCTCTTTGTTCAGTATATTTTTCATTATTTTATTCATCGTTGATTAACAATTAAGACAAATCAGCACATAATCCTGTTTTTATGATTATTACGATCATTTATTGTTTTTCATTTTAGTTTTTTTTTTTCAATTGATTTATTTTTATTTAATTATTAAAAGAAAGAATTATTATTAGATGAATTTGTCTTCTGAATTCGGAAGACAAGTTTAAAGAAAATAAATCTTTATTTGATTTATCGTTATTATTTCTTTATTAATCCATTTCTTTATTAATTTGTTCTTATTAATC